AGTCTAGGAGACGCATTGCTAGTTAACTGGAAAAAAGCTGGAAGTAGAGATGTGGTTTAATGAATAAAATGTCACCTTTGAGTGAAAAAATAAAGCTAAGAGACAGCACTCAGGCTCTGAATTCAAGTTCCAGAACCAAGACAAAAAACAAAGTAATAAACAAGCCTAGAAAAAGCCCAGGGGAAACACACTCAGTAGACAGAGGAAGGAGGCCCATCCAGGGCTCAGGGAAAGTAGGCTGGAAGTTTCTTTTAGATAAGGATCTCTGTATGAGGCAGGGGAGGGGAGGAGTCCAAGAACACAAGAGAGAGTGTTTATCACAAGTCATTATTAAATTTATCTATTTTTGAGCTAAGCCTGGGATTTGAACTCAGAACTTGAGTGTTATCCCTGAGTTGTGGGTTTTTTCCCCCTCAAGGCTAGCCCTCTACCACTTGAGCCACAGCCCCACCTCTGGCTTTTTTTTTTTCTTTTCGCTAGTCCTGGGGCTTAAACTCAGGGCCTGGAACCATCGCTGAGCCTCTCTATACTCAAGGCTAGCGTTCAACCACTGGAGCCACAGGGCCACTTCCGGTTTTCTGAGTAGTTTGGAGATAAGAGTCTCATGGACTTTTCTGCTTGGGCTGGCTTCAAAACCATGATCCTGGGTTGGGAAGGTGGCTCAGTGGTAGAGCGCTTGCCTTGCATGCCTGAGGCCCTGGGTTCAATTCCCCAGCACCACATAAGCAAAAAGAAAAAAGCCGGAAGTGGCGCTGTGGCTCAAGTGGTAGAGCGCTAGCCTTGAGCTGAAGAGCTGAGGGACAGCTCCCAGGCCCAGAGTTCAGGCCCCACAAACGGACCCAAAAAAAAAAAAAAAAAAGAATCTCGAACTGAGTATCAGTGGCTCATGCTTGTAATCCTAGCTGCTCAGCAGACTGAGATCTGAGGGTCATGGTTCAAAGCCAGCCTAGGCAGGAAAGTCCGTGAGACTCTTATCTCCAATGAACCACCAGAAAACTGGAAGTGATGCTGTGACTCAAGTGGCAGAGCTCTAGCCTTGAGCTGAAGAGCTCAGGGACAGTCAGGGACAGCACTCAGATCCTGAGTTCAAGTCCTAGTACTAGCACAAAATATAATAATAATAGTAATAGTAATGCTCTCAAGAGTCATTTACTCCAATCCTACTGTCCAGTTTTTCATGAAGGGACACAGAATGGACACAAGCAGGGTGCTCCTACTATGGGTTCAGGGTGACACGCCAAATTATGTATCAAAACCACTGAAGCATGTGATAGAAAAGTAGTTCATACCTGCCTAGGAAAATACAATTGCACGTCATTCAGCTCCATCTGGTAGTAGGTGTGTGTGTGTGTGTGTGTGTGTGTGTGTGTGTGTGTGTGTGTGTGTGTCTGTCTGTCTGTCTGTCTGTCTGTTTGTCTGGTCTGTCTGTCTGTCTGTTTGTCTGGTCTGTCTGTTTGTCTGTCTGTCTGTCTGTCCTGGGGCTTGAACTCAGGGCCTGCGCACTGTCCCTGAGATTTCTGGTTTTGCTCAAGGCTGGCACTCTACCACTTGAGCCACATCTCAAATGGAAGAGCTTTTCTCCAGTTTCATTGAGATAAAAGAGTCTCACACACTTTCCTACCTTGGCTGGCTCTGAATCACGATCATCAATTCTCAGCCTCCTTTGTAGCCACCAGTGTCCAGCTGGATCTTGATTCTTATTTTTTTTTTTTTGGGTCCGGTCGTGGGGCCTGAACTCTGGGCCTGGGCGCTGTCCCTCAGCTCTTCAGCTCAAGGCTAGCGCTCTACCACTGGAGCCACAGCGCCACTTCCAGCTTTTTTCTTTTTGCTTATGTGGTGCTGAGAAATCGAACCCAGGGCCTCATGCATGCAAGGCAAGCACTCTACCACTGAGCCACCTTCCCAGCCCTGGATCTTGATTCTTAAAGGAGCTGTCATCCAGCTATGTAGGAGGCTGAGATCTGAGGATTGCGGTTCAAAGCCAGCCCAAGCAGAAAAGACTCTAATCTCAGATAAACTTCTCAGAAAAAGCCAGAGGTGGCCTGGCTTAAGTGGTAGAATGCCAGCCTTGAGCAAAAGAAGCTCAAGGACAGCGTCCAGGCCCTGAGCTCAAGCCAAATTAAAAAAAAAAAAAAGGAAACTGAGGCTGGAGAGTTCTTTACTCATGGCCCTAAGATGGTTTGCCAGGCTACCCTCACTAGTTCGCCCCAGGAAAGTCTGTGCCTCTCTATGCCAGCCTCCCTTGGCCACGTGTGGCAATGCATGGCAGGTGACTGCCAGCTTGTGGTCAGTACTGGTAATGCCTCTGGCTGGTAGCTCCTTAGTCACGGCCTGTGTGGTCTAGACAGATCTCTGATTCTGGGCCCAGCAAGGTCTCTAGTTCAGTCTCTTTGCTCCTGTTGGACAAAAGAGCCATGTGTCCCACTGAGTTTGCGTTTATAACCAGGCTTCTGCCTCTGGTCCTATTTTTAAAAAGTCCTAGCTGGGCACTTAATGGCTCACATCTGTCATCCTAGCAGGCTGAAATCGGAGGATCATAGTTCAAAGCCAGCCCAGGCAGGAAAGCCAAGGAGACTCTTATCTCCAATGAACCACCAGAAAACCGGTGGTGGGGCTGTGGCTCAAAGACAGTGTCCAAGTCCTGAGTTCAAGCCCCATGATTGACAAAAAAAAAAAAAGTCCTGCCCTGATCCCTGGGTCCCCTCCTTTCTTTCCCGTGACTTCCTGTCCCTCATCACCTCCTTTAATACTGTGGAACTCAAAGTGAAGGAAGGACCAGACATTCCCCAAGGCAGCTGAGCTGTCCAGTCTCAAGGTGGGGCTTGGGGAGAGCTCAGAGAGGAGCCCACAGGAGAGGAGCATTGTTAAGGCACTGCAGCCTTCAAGAAGTAGGGAGGAAGGAGGGGGAGGACAGGAAGGGAGCAAGAAGAGGAGGAAGGGGAGGGTTGTTTCAGCTGGGGGGGGGATAAGCATCAGAAAAGTGGCATTGCTTTCTGACATCAGGTTTGATCATAAAGGGTTCTGAAAATGATCACAGAGTGGAGGCATGGCTCAAGTAGTAGAGCACCAGCCTTGAGCAGAAAAAAACCAAGCCAGAGCACAAGGCCCTGAGTTCAAACCCAGTACTGACACTTGGAAGGAAGGGGCTAGGAGGGGAGGGGAGGAAGTCTTGATTTTTAGAAGGTACTACATAATAATTGTCACAATTTAGTCTGCTTATGTTGACTCAAACTTTTTTTGAGTTGTTTCATTTTTCTTCCTTTTCTTTTCTCCTTCCTTCCTTCTTTCCTTCCTTTCTTTTCTTTTCTTTTTGAATTCCGGGCCCGGGCACTGTCCCAGCTCCACTTCTGGAATCTTAGTGACTTTCCTGCCCCAGCTGGCTTCAAACTGTGATCCTCAGATCTCAACCTCCTGAGTAGCTAGGATTATAGGCTTGAGCCACTGGGCTCCAGCAACAAATTTGTTTTTGTAATTGTCTAACAGTTTTGCCACTGTGTGTGTATGTTTGCCCATGTACATGTGCACCCTGGTATTGTGGCTTGAACTCAGGGTCTGGACACTGTCTTTGCTTTTTCATTCAAGGCTTGTGCTCCACCTTTTGAGCCACATCTCCACCTCCAGCTTTTTGCTAGCTTTTTTGGAGATTAGAGTTTCATGAACTTTCCTGCTTAGTCTGGCTTTGAACCTCAATCCTCAGATTTCATCCCCCTGAGCAGTCAGAATTACAGGCAAGTTGGATGCTTGTGGCTCACGCCTGTAATACTAGCTACTCAGGAGGCTGAGATCTCAGTTCAGAGCCAGCTGGGTCAGGAAAAGTCTGTGAGACTCTTATTTCCAATAAACTACTCAGAAAACCAGAAGTAGTGCCGTGACTCAAGTGGTAAATTGCTAGCCTTGAGCTGAAGAGCTGAGGGACAGGGCTCAGCCCCAGAGTTCAAAGCCCCACAACCAACAAAAAAATAAAAATTAAAAAAAGAATTTCAGGCAAGCTGGAATCTGACCAGAGTTCCAGAGTCTTTTCCCCCTCTTGGAATTGTAGAGCCAAAAGCAAGGAAGTTTTTAGGTTTTACCACAAACAGAAATGAGAGCTAGACTCACAAACAACTTAAGCAGTTGGGACTGGGAAGTTAATGATGTAGTGTTATAGAAATTAAGGAGAGAAACAGGCTTCATAAAGCAGAACAATATTCATATATTATTTTCTAGGAATGGGTAGAGGTTTTTCCAGGAATTTGAGCACCATTTCTTTTGTGCTCTTTTATGATTTATTTTTCTCTGATATCATCATGGAAATTATCCACCGCTATGGTCCTGGGGTATATGCCACTGGGCCTGCAAGATGGAATTATACTAAACTCAGAGATGGTCACTCTGCCATCCGTCTTAAATCCAGCCCAGATGTGAAGGGGAAGCTCTGGCTTATGGGTACCTTGACCCTAAAAGTCAGCTTAATTAGATTATAGTAGAAATCCACCTAGGCCAAGCAGCAATACATCATCAGAACTGGCTAATTAAAAGATCCTGGCTGGGGGGCGGGTGGCTCACCTCTTTTATCCTAGCTAATCGAGAGGCTGAGATCTGCGGATTGCAGTTCAAAGCCAGCCCGGGCAGAAACTCCGTGAGACTCTGCTCTCCAATTAACCACCTGAAAACGGGAAGTGGCGCCGTGGCTCAAATAGTAGAGCACCCGCATTGACCTGAAGAGCTCAGGGACAGCGCCCTGGCCCAGAGTTCACATCCCCACGACCAACCAAAAGAATTAATTAACTACGTTAATTAATTAAATAATTCTAGACTCGAATAAACTAAATTCTCTGGATCTAGATCAGGAGAGAATGGTCCCAGAGGCCTCGCCCCTGGAGGGGGCGTGTCTTCCACTAGCCACGCCCATCTCCCCTCCGGCCACGCCTCCTGCACGGTGTAAGGACGGCAGGAGGCGCTGCAGCGCGCGCCGGGACCCTGGCGGCCCCGCCCCCGGCGGCCCCGCCCCCTCCTTACCTCATTTCCGCGCGTCCGGGTCGCACAGAGCCTGACGTCGCCGGGGTGGCCGGGCCGTGCGTGGGGTGAGTTGGGGCGCGCGGGCTTTGGCGGGGGAGCGGCTCGGTCGTTGGGGCCCCTGAGGGCCGGGGCCGGGGCTGAGGGCGCGGGCGGAGCCGGAGGGTCGTTCCTAGGCACACGTACTCGAGGTTGCGGCAGGCCGCGGGCCCCGCGGGGGCTTCCGTCACGCACCTGCCCCGGTTCACCGGCGGGGGGCCTCCTGCAGGCCCCGGGCTGCGGGCTAGCTGCGGGCTGGGGTCACGACCCTGGGTAGTCGCCCCGCACCCGCCGCCCCGCACCGGCGCGCGTCGACGAACCGCGCACAGTGACACCGGCGCCCGGGGGTTGTCGGGAAACGTTGGGAAGGGAGCCGCGAGCCGCCTGGAGACAGGAGGGGAAATACGCCGAGAAGATGGCAAAAAGAAGAGGAGGCCTCTCTCTGGGGGTCTCGTAGCTCTGACATTACCTGTCAGGAAGCGACCTGGACTATAGCTGTGTCCACCTGCGGGTGTCAAGACTAAGCCTGGGGTCTCCTAAGTTCCTTGGCCGTTCCAAGCCTCCCTTTGTTTAACAGGAAAGTGGCTGGCTTGCTTTCTCCACTGTCTCTACCACTTGAGTCACACCTCTAGCCCGCTGGCCCGTGTATGTGCTGGTACTGGGGCTTGAATTTAGGGCCTGGGCGCTGTCCCTGAGCTCTTCAGCTCAAGGCGAGCCCTCTACCACTTTGAGCCATAGCGCCACTTCCGGCTTTTTGGTGGTTCGCTGCAGATAAGAGTCTCGTGGACTTTATTGCCCGGGCTGGCTTTGAAGCACGATCCTCAGATCTCAGTCTCCCGAGTAGCTGGGATGACAGGCACAAGCCACCAGCACCTGGCTTTAAGTCTATGTTTGGTTAAGCTGGATCCTTGATTTGTGGACTTTGAGAAACTTGTGTCTCCAGTCCTGTCCCTCGTTCCCTCCTTCTGAACTTTTTCAGGCTGCTTTGGAGGAGATCTCTGTGTGGACTCTTAAGAACTTTGCTATTGGATTACCTCAAGCTGGAGTAAGAATACTTCATAAGAAGGACCTATGCTTTTTGTCTGTCTGAACAGCAGAGGGCAACACTGGCCACTTTCTGCAGCAAGGCTTGGGGAGAATCTAGGAAGGTGGCAGGTGTTGGTTGAGTCCCTGGAGGAACAAATACCACTGTTCCTGGCAGAGCTTGGGAAGGGACTTCTCAGGTACCGATCCCCAGTGAGGTTTCAGAAGAACTCTGTCTTCATGAAGCAACAGGGTATCCTGCTGATGCCCTTACCCTCACTAAAACTCTGCCCTTGCCCCCACAGAGCCGTCTGGCCTTGAGCCTGTTGTCCCTGATTAAGGAAATGACCACCCAGGTAAGGTCTGTGTGGAGGGGAAGAACATCACTTGTGTCCAGCCAAGTTCAAGCCCAATAGGATGTGTTTGGTTGGGGTCTAGAATTGAGCATCCAGATTCTTCCTAAAGAATAGGGACCCAGGGCACCTGGTATTCCAGGATCAGCACTAGTAAAAGCGGCATACTCAGGGCCAGGCATTGGTGGCTCACAACTGTCAGCTACTTGAGGCTGAGATCTCAGGATCATGGTTCAAAGCCATGTGAGACTCTTATCTCCACTAAAAATACAAAAAAAAGTTGGAAGTAGAGCTGTGCCTCAAATGATAAAGGGCTAGCCTTGAGCACAAAAACTCAGAGATAGCACCCAGGCCAGGAGTTCTAGCCTCAGAACCAACACACACACAAATTACTCTGAGTGCGCTCACACACGCATGTGCACACATACACTTGAACTCAGGGCCTGGGCATTGTCCCTTAGCTTGGTGCTCTACCACCAGAGCCATAGCTCAAATTCTGGCTTTTCGGTGGTTAATTGGAAATAAGAGTCTCATGGACTTTTCTGACCTGGCCTGCTTCAAACTGCAGTTCTCACATGGCAGCCTCCTGAGCCGCTGGGATGACAAACATGAGCTACCATGTCTTGGCAAGAATTGGTTGTTCTTTTTTTTAATATGACAAATCATGCATGATCAGGAATAGGGATCCGGGAACTTGCAGAATGGTCAGGGCTGTCGCAGGGGGAGTGGCTGACACTTTGTGCCTGTCCACTGGGCATGCACCAGGGAGGCGCCAACTTAATATGGCCTCTGTTCTTTTCCAGTACAGTATTCTCTTCAAACAGGAGCAAGGTAAGGAGGCTGCCTGTGTGGAAACCTTCCGTTTTGGAAAAAATGGGGTCTCCTAAGCTTCTTTGGCCCCTCCAAAACCTCCTTTAGCTTTAGAGGAAAGTTGCTTGTGACTTGCTTGCTCCGCTGGCTTTTACCACTTGAGTCACACCTATTGGCTTTTTGGTGGTGTGTGCGCTGGTCCTGAGGCTTGAACAGATGGCCTAGACTGAATTCCTCCTATTTAATTCCCCCTGTGCAACTGAGCCATCATGACCCACATATTGGTTGAGATGGGGACTTCACTAACTTTATGCTAGGGCTGGCTTTAAACTGAAATCCCCCTGTTTCTACCTCCTCTGAGTGGCTGGAGATGCAGGTGTGAGTCACTATGCCAGCTCCTTTTTGTCCACGCTTACATAGCCACACCAGCTCTGCATGCCCACAGTGTGAAGTGTGCTGGGTTTGCATCCCCACCTTTTTAACTCTGTGCCGTTGGATGAGCTGCAGGTCTTCTCTAAGCCTCCAGTATCTGCTCATAAAGTGAGGTGATCTATTCCCCTCTCCCCCAATCCCGCCACCCAAGCACGTCAGGCATATCCTCCAGGGAGCTCATCTCCAGGCTTTGTTTCATTTTCTCCTGGCAGCAGTGGAGCTTGAACACAGGGCCTCTCAATTGTCAGGCAGGTGCTCTACCACTGAGCCATGCTTCCAGCCCTTGGATTTTTTTGGTTGGTCATGGGGCGTGAACTCAGGGTCTGGGTGCTGTCCCTCAGCTCTTCAGCTCAAGGCGAGCACTCTACCACTTGAGCCACAGCGCCACTTCCAGTTTTCTGGTAGTTTATTGGAGATAAGAGTCTCAGGGACTTTCCTGCCCTGGCTGGCTTTGAACCGCGATCCTCAGATCTCAGCCTCCTGAGTAGCTAATATTGCAGGCATGAGCCTCCAGTGCCTGGCTCCTTGGATTTTTTTTTTTTTTCCTGCCAGTTGTGGAGCTTGAACTGAGCCTGGGCTCTGTCTCTGAGCTTTTGTGATCAAGGCTAGCACTCTGCCACTTGAGCCACAACTCCACTCAGCTTTTTGTAGTAACTTAGAGATAAGAATCTCACGCCACCGGGCGCTGGTGGCTCAACGCCAGGCGCTGGTGGCTCACGCCTGTAATCCTAGCTGCTCAGGAGGCTAAGATCTGAGGATTGTGGTTCAAAGCCAGCCCGGGCAGGAGAGACCGTGAGACTCCTATCTCCAATAAACCACCAGAAAACCGGAAGTGGCACTGTAGCTCAAGTGGTAGAGCGCTCGCCTTGAGCTGAAGAGCTGAGGGACAGCGCCCAGGCCGAGTTCAAGCCCCACGACAGACAAAAAAAAAAAAAGAATCTCACAGACTTTCTTGCCCGTGCTGGCTTCCAACCACAGCCCTCAGATCTCGGCCTCCCTAGTAGCTAGGATTACAGGTGTGAACCTCCAGCTAAGCCCGTAGGTTTTTTTTTAAGCCCTTAGATTTTTTTTTCAATTTTTATTTATTTATTTTTGGGTCCAGTCGTGGGGCCTGAACTCTGGGCCTGGGCGCTGTCCCTCAGCTCTTCAGCTCAAGGCTAGCCCTCTACCACTTGAGCCACAGCGCCACTTCCGGCTTTTTTCTTTTTGCTTATGTGGTGCTAAGGAATCGAACCCAGGGCCTCAGGCATGCAAGGCAAGCGCTCTACCTCTGAGCCACCTTCCCAGCCCAGCCCTTAGATTTTTAAAGCAGTTTTACTGTGTCACTTAGATTGGCCTTGAACCTTTTCCCTAGATAGGAACGCACCTATGTTTACATCTGTGCTGTTTACAGGGCTCTCCCATGCTCTGTCTCCGGTCAGGTTCAGATCTGGGCTCCCTGCTGGAGACCTGGCTGGTTTCTGGTTGGGCCTCCACACTAGGTGGGCTTGTGTCATGGGGAAGTGGCTCCTTGAGAAGCCCCCACTCCAGCCAGTGCTCCGTAGGAAAGAGGAGAGCGGGGAGACAGGTGTGGACATCAGCTATCCACTGCGGGCAGGGGTTCAGCTTCGCGCAGCATGCACAGTGCTGATTGCAGGGGGAGCTCGTAAATGAAGCCGTCTCCATTCCAGCCCATGATGACGCCATTTGGTCTGTTGCCTGGGGAACAAACAAGAAGGACAACTTAGAAACTGTGGTCACAGGGTCGCTGGATGACCTGGTGAAGGTCTGGAAATGGTGAGCCTCTCCCCTGACACACAGCCTCGGAAGATTGGGGTGAGAAGTGTGTGTGTGTGTGTGTGTGTGTGTGTGTGTGTGTGTGTTCTGGGGCTTGAGTGTGTGTGTATGTGTGTGTGTGTGTGTGTGTGTGTGTGTGTGTGTGTGTGTGTGTTCTGGGGCTTGAACTCGGGCTTATATACTATGCATGAGCTCTTTTGCTCAAGGCTAGCACCATACCACTTTGAGTCACACCTCCACTTCGGTTTTCTGGTGGTTCATTGGAGTTCGAGTGTCAACGGACTTTCCTACCCAGGTTGGCTTTGAGCTACAATCCTCAGGTCTCTGCTTCCTGAGTAGATAGGAAAACAAGCATGAGTCATTGGCATCCAGCCTACTTCTGGCTTTTTGCTGGTTAGCTGGACATAAGTATCAAAGATTTACTTGCCTAGGCTGGCTTTGAACAGTGATCCTCAGATCTCAGCCTCTTGCATAGCTAGGATTATAGATATGAACACTGGCACCCAGCTGGGGTTGAAGGGTTTGCTTTCTGTGCTCCCAAGTTGCTACTGGGGAAGTAATAACTTTTCCTAGCCAAAAACAACAACAACAACAAAAAACTGTTGTGGTGTAGTAGTGGAAAACAACAGCTTAGGTGTTTCTCTGTCTCTCTCTCTCTCTTTGCCTGCTAGCCAGATCAAAGACCTAGTTATTTATTTATTTATTTATGTCAGTTGTGGGGGTTTGAACTCTAGGCCTGGGCACTGACCCTGAGCTCTTCAGCTCAAGGTGAGCACTCTACCACTTGAGCCATCACACCACTTCCAGTTTTCTGGTGGTTAATTGGAGGTGAGTCTCATGGACTTTCCTGCTGGGGCTGGCTTTGAACCATGATCCTCAGATTTCAGCCCTTCTGAGTAGCTAGGATTACACGCGTGAGCCACAGTTCCCCGGCTTCAAAGCCCTATTAAAAACAAAAGAAAACAAAACCCCAAACCTGGCTGTATTTGGTGGATGCACAGCCCTGAGGACACAGAATATCTGTTGCTAGCTACAAGGTGTGCGTGTTTACGAGTTCATGTTCTGCGTCCCCCATGGCAGGCAGGACGAGCGGCTGGACCTGCAGTGGAGCCTGGAGGGCCACCAGCTGGGCGTGGTATCCGTAGACATCAGCCACACGCTGCCCATCGCAGCCTCCAGCTCCCTGGACGCACACATCCGCCTCTGGGACTTGGAGAATGGCAAGCAGATCAAATCTATAGACGCGGGGCCCGGTGAGTGCGGAGGGAATGGGCCCCCAAACCCTGGGGGAGCAGGGTCAGCACGGCTCAGACATTGTCGCATTCTCAGATGCCTTCACGGCCAGGAAGAGCTCCCATATTAAACACAGGCGCTCTGTAGTGGAGAGTCATCCTGTCGAGAGATGGCCGAACATGACGTTTTGCTTCCGAGGGAGTTTTGGCGTGACCATTCAGAAAAGAATTGGGAGTTTTTGGGATTTTGGAATTGTAGACAGTTTGGATGAGCCGCTGGCCCTCTGAGTGTGCCATTCTGAATGAATGCTTCCCACATTGTGGAGTGGCATTCCCTCCTGCCCAGTCTGCTCACTGTGGCTTGTGTGTGTGCCCATGCGTGTAGGGTGAGGGGTACTGAAGCTTGAGCTTAGGGCCTCGTGCACCTGCGCGGCTCTCTAGCTCACCACTGCTTTCCCTCCAGCCCTCATTGCAATTTCTAGCATATGAAGTACCATTCCAGTGTGTCGTGGCATGACATTTTCTTTCTTTCTTTTTTTTTTACGGGGCTTGAACTCTAGGCCTAGGTGCTGTCCCTGAGCTCTTCAGCTCAAGGCTAGCGCTCTACCACTTAAGCCACAGGGCCACTTCTGGTTTTCTGGTGGTTAATTAGAGACTTCCCTACCTGGGCTGGCTTTGAACTGCAATCCTCAGATCTCAGCCTCCTGAGTAGCTAGGATGACAGGTGTGAGCCACCAGCTCCTGGAGACATTTTCTTTACTTTTGACATTACTGGGGATTTGAGCTCAGAACCTTGCACTTGCCAGGCCTGTACTACACACCCATAGCCTTTTTTGCTTTTGTTTTATTCTAACTTTATTTACTTACATATTTATTTTATTTTGGTCAATTGTGGGACCTGAACTCTAGGCCTAGGCACTGTCCCTCAGCTCTTCAGCTCAAGGTTAGCGCTCTACCACTTGAGCCACAGTGCCACTTCTGGCTTTTTCTGCTTATGTGGTGCTAAGGAATCGAACCCAGGGCCTCATGCATACAAGGCAAGCACTCTACCACTGAACCACCTTCCCAGACCCCCTAATTTGAACTCAAGACCTGGGCACTGTTCCTGAGCTCATCTTGTTCAGTGTTCATGTGCTTCCACTTTGAGCTACAGCACCACTTCTGGTTTTCTGGTAGTTCATAGAAGATAAGAGTCTCAGGGACTTACTTACCCAGGTTGGCTTCAAACCTCAATCCTCAGAGCTCAGCCTCCCAAGTACCTAGGATGACTGGTGAGTCACTGGTGCCTGGCTTTAAATATTTATTTTACACTGCAAACATTTTTTTATATATTTTTATTTTTTTATTGTGAAAATACTGTACAGAGGGGTTACAATTACATGGGCAAGATAATGAGTACATTTCTTATCAAGAATTGTATCCTCATCCTTTGTTTCCCCTTCCCATCCTCCCCCCCACCCCCCCAAACACTGCAAACATTTTAGTGATCATTTTTTTTTTTTTTTTTTGAGGTCCGGTCATGGTGCCTGAACTCTGGGCCTGGGCGCTGTCCCTCAGCTCTTCAGCTCAAGGCTAGCGCTCTACCACTTGAGCCACAGCGCCACTTCCGGCTTTTTTTCTTTTTGCTTATGTGGTGCTGGGGAATCGAACCCAGGCCCTCATGCATGCAAGGCAAGCACTCTACCACTGAGCCACTTTCCCAGCCCCAAATGTGATCTTTATAGTATGGCATTTAGGAAATAAAAATATACTCCCACCTCAAAGAAATAAAAAGGTTGTGCATGATTATATGCCAAACAAAAGAGAGAACACTAGAATAGTCTGATAGTGCAGGCATCATTAAAAAGGAAAAGAAAAAGCTTGAGATGCTTAATAACTCCCTGTGTCTTAAGGAAGCAAGATTTTTGATGATGTAACTTTAAAGTCAGCAAAATGGGGGATTAGTGATGACAACTGTAGTGTATGGAATATGAAATAAAAACTTTACACAAATACACTGGCGCCTGGCTTTAAAAAAAATTTTTTTTTAAGAAGTCCTTGAATTAAAAAATCATGGTAGGAGGGGGGAGGCTGGGAAGGGATGTGAAGGGTAAACAAAGGAGGAGGCTGCAATGCTTGGTAAGAAATGTACGCATTATCCTGCCCATGTAATGTAACCCCTCTGTACATATGTTCACAAATAAAATTAAATTAAAAAAAAAATCATGGTAAAGATTTTAGCATCTTCACAACCTGGTCTCCTGGCTCAGGACCCCGACTCTCCGTTCACACTGCGTCATCTGGTGACACACATGGTTCTTGAACTTGAGTTTGCCTCTGTTCTCACTGTGATTTTCTTTCCTCCTCTTTTCTCTCCAGTGGACGCCTGGACTTTGGCCTTTTCTCCTGACTCCCAGTATCTGGCCACAGGCACTCACGTAGGGAAAGTGAACATCTTTGGTGTGGAGAGTGGGAAGAAAGAATATTCTTTGGACACACGAGGAAAATTCATTCTTAGCATTGCATACGTAAGGAAACCTGGCTCTCTTTCCTGAACTGTGAGTTCACTCCTCCAGCTTGTCACCGTCCCTGGCCCGTGTCCCTGCGGGGCTCGTCAGGCTGTGGCGTGGCTGTGTGCGGCCTGCAGCCGGCGAACCCCGCAGCCTATAGAATGCTTGTTGCCAGAAGCAGAGGGGCTCCCCGAGCCCCAGCACTCTCTCGCTTCTGTGCTCTCCCAACAGAGCCCCGACGGGAAGTACCTGGCCAGCGGAGCCATCGACGGAATCATCAATATCTTTGATATTGCAACTGGAAAACTTCTTCACACACTTGAAGGTAGAGCTTCTCAGCTTCAGTTTGTGCAAATCGGGCAATCAGATCCCAAAGGAAGGCTCTTCTTTCCTTAAAATGCTCTTAAGCTAGGTGCCAGTGGCTCACACCTGTCATTCCAGCTACTCAGGAGGCTGAGATCTGAGTGGTTCAAAGCCAGCCCAGGCAGGAAAGTCTGTGAGACTCTTATCTACAATGAATCACCAGAAAACTAGAACTGGTGCTGTGGCTTAAGTGGTGGAGTGCTAGCCTTGTGCTGAAGAGCTCAGGAACAATGCCCAGGCCCAGAGTTCAAGTCCAATAAACCTACCTCCAGAAAACCAGAAGTGGAAGAGTGTCTCAAGTGATAGAGAGCCAATCCTGAGTGAAAAGTTAGATCAAGAGGCCCTGGGTTCAAGCCCAAGTGTAGGGTCTGGGGGAGGAGGGAGGGAGGAACTGTTAAATGCAAATGAGTATTAGATTTGCAAACTGCTCTTTTGAGTTGGAGACCGAAATGACTCAAAAATGACTCTTCTTACTGGTTTGAACTTATTTTAAGTGCTAAATGCTCATTGTAGTGAATTAGCTTTTCTAAAAATTATTTATTAATATACCCAGCCATATGAATGTCTCATTTCTGTTGGTTTTGGTTCTGCAGTACTTTGTGATTGAAAGACAGCTTTGTTTGAGTTGGTCCTGAAGCTTGAACTCGGGGCCTAGTCACTGTCCCTTTGCTTTTTCACTCAAGATTGGCGCTCTACCACTTGAACTACAGTGGCATGTTTGGTTTTTTTGAGTAGCTTATTGGGGATAAGAGTCTCACAGACTTTTCTGCCAAGGCTGGCTTTGAACCGTGATCCTCAGATCTAGCCTCCTGAATAGCTAGGATGACAGGTGTGAGCCACCATGCCCAGAATTGTTTCAAGGTAGTGTGTGTTGAGGCTACGCCTGTGTGAGAAGCTAAGGCTCTGGTTTGTGCAGGTGTTTCTAGGCCATGAGGAAGAAGGACCAGCCAGTACTCCTCCCACTGAATCACCAGGGTGTTTGCAGCTCGGTGCCTCGCTATGGGGTGGTTGTGACCAGCCTGGGTAATGGTATACTTCCCATCATGCATTTCAGGCCATGCCATGCCCATCCGCTCCTTGACCTTCTCCCCCGACTCCCAGCTCCTGGTCACCGCCTCGGACGATGGCTACATTAAGATCTATGATGTGTGAGTTGCTGTCCACCGGAGCCCTAGGGAGCACGCCCTCCTGTCCCCCTCCCCTCACCACCACCACCCCTCCCCACCAGCCAGGGACAGTGCCCAGGCCCTGAGTTCAAGCCTCAGGACCAGCACCAAAAAAAAAAACAACCCAAAATCCCAAGTGCAAATGGCTGTAGAGGTTAGTCACACCCTATTCCTGGCTAGGTTTCAGCTGTGCCTCTCAGCCACGTGGTGTCCCCAGCCCTGGCCGTGGGGACTGTGTGGTGTGGGTGCAGTGCAGCACGTGGGCCTGCCGCCTGCCGCCCAACCCTCGGCCAGCCGTGCCTGTGTTTGCTCCCACGCTGTTTGTCTGGGATCTTGTTCCTGGTGTCCACACCTGACTGGAAGGGGCTGTTTGGTGTGGATGGCCTGGAAACACAGCAGATGTCATCAGCTGTGAGCGCAGAGTGAGGGGGCCCCTTCCACCCCAGCTGTCATGCCCCAGAGTGGCCTGTCACTGCTTTTGAACCTTTCCTGTGGCAGGCAACATGCCAACCTGGCTGGCACCCTAAGCGGCCATGCCTCCTGGGTGCTCAACATCGCCTTCTGCCCCGACGACACTCACTTCGTCTCCAGGTACTTTGACTTTCATAGTACAGTCTGAAATGTTTGGGAGAGCTGGGCATAGTAGCACACTCCTATAATCTCAGCACTTGAGAGGTGGAAACTGAGGGATCACAAGCAAGCTCAGATCAGCTTGGGCTACAGAGTCAGTTCCTATCAGCCTGAGCTACTCAGCAGACCCGGGTGTGAAATTACACAGCACACCTGGAAGGTAAAAGTGATCTGAGGCACGAGCTACCTAAAACCTTAGGACTGCATGACCTTCTTTAAAATTCAAGTTACCTTCCTTAGTTTTAAAAGATTTTAGTTAATAAAGGTGTTCTTAGCTACTACAGAGATGCGATCTTTTGAACCGTGAAACTCCTTGTAGACTTGCTTACAAACTAGCCTCAGTAGTTCTGGCGCTAGCACGTGTGGCTCCGCCTCAGAGCCCTCTCACTCTGGATCCTCATGCGGGGGGGGGGGGGGGAGGGGGGGGGGCCCTGTGCACAGGGGTCTGTCCCGCACAGGCACTGTGGGGCGGGGGGGGAGGGGGAGGCTGCCTGTGCGCAGGGGTCTGTCCTGCACAGGCGCTGGGGGGGGGGGGGGAGGCTGCCTGTGCGCAGGGGTCTGTCCTGCACAGGCGCTGTCGGGGGGGGGGGGGGGGGAGGCTGCCTGTGCGCAGGGGTCTGTCCTGCACAGGCGCTGTGGGGCGGGAGGGGGGGGGAGAAGGGGGAGGCTGCCTGTGTGCAGGGGTCTGTCCCGCACAGGCGCTGTGTGTGTGTGGGGGGGGGGGTGCGCAGGGGTCTGTCCCGCACAGGTTCTGTGGGGCGGGGGGGGGGGGGGTCTGTGCGCAGGGGTCTGTCCTGCACAGGCGCTGGGGGGTGGGGGCTGTGCGCAGGGGTCTGTCCCGCACAGGTTCTGTGGGGGGGGGGGGGGCTGTGCGCAGGGGTCTGTCCCGCACAGGTTCTGTAGGGCGGGGGGGGGGGAGGCTGTGCGCAGGGGTCTGTCCTGCACAGGCGCTGGGGGGGGGGGCTGTGCGCAGGGGTCTGTCCCGCACAGGCGCTGGGGGGTGGGGGAGAGGCGTGCCCAGAGGCTGGGAGAGGGGCTGTTGCTGACACAGATGATCTTTCACAACAGCTCCTCAGACAAGAGTGTGAAGGTGTGGGATGTGGGGACAAGGACGTGCGTCCACACCTTCTTTGACCACCAGGATCAGGTAGGGTCCCAGTCTTTGGATGCCTCTCCCAGCGTTGGGTTGGAGGCCCCGGCCGGTGCTGTGGGGGCTCTGCGGGGTCGGTTTTGCGAGGGCCCTCCACAGCAAGGCCACGGCACTCCCTCGCATGTGTCTCCCCCTCTGGGTGCCTCTGTCCACAGTGGCCCTGGAAGGACCTTCTTTCTTCCTCTTCCTCTTCAGTAGTCGTTGTGGCTGAACCCTTAGTGAGCTGTAGTGGGAGCCGCAGCCAGACTCAACACCTGTCACCCCAACTACCCAGGAGGCTGAGATGTGAGGATCCCAGTTTGAAGCCAGTCCAGGCAGGAAAGTCTGAGAGACTCTTAGCTCCCATTAACCAGCAAAAAGCCAGAAGTGGAGGTGTGGCTCAAGTGGTACAGTGCCCAGCCTTGGGTTGAAAAAGGGAATAGGGCCAGGGCTCTGAGTACAAGCCCTAGCACAGGTACAAAAACACAGAAAAAAAATATATTTTACCGGGCCTGGGGCTTGAACTCAAGGCCTCGGCACGATCCCTAAGCTTCTTTGTGCTCAATCTTGCGCTTACCACTTGAGGCACAGTGCCACTTCCAGCCTTTTCTGAATAGTTGTATTGGAGGTAAGAGTCTCACAGACTTTTCTGCCCAGGCTGGCTTCAAACCCTGATCCTCACATGTCAGCCTCCTAAGCATAGCTAGGATCACAGGCATAAGCCACCAGTGCATGGCTTTTTTTTTTTTTTCTTGTATAATACCCGATGGAAATTCTTAACAGGTTGTTTGCCTTTAGTGATAACACTTTCATTTTCATCTTTGGAGTTTTTTGGGTTTTTTTGTTTTTGTTTTTGTTTTGTTTTGCCAGTCCTGAAGCTTGAACTCAGGGCCTGGGGACTGTCCTGGAGCTTCTTTTGCTCAAGGTTAGCACTCAACCAATTGAGCCACAGCACCACTTCCAGCCTTTTTCTATTTATGTACTGAGGGGCTTCGTGCATGCTAGGCAAGCACTCTACCATTAAGCCATATTTCCAGCCCCTCTTCAAAGGTGTTATTGGTTGGTTGGTTCTGGAGTTTGAACTCAAGGCCTCTTACTTGGTAGGCAGGTGCTCTACCAGTTGAACCACATCCCCAGCCAGGTCCATCTTTAAAAGGAGGCTGTTTATCACCACTAAGCTGAAGATGAAATGCTAAAGGTGTTTCGATGGTGTGTTTCTTCATCTTCTGTATGGATAGGAATCCTTGGGGAATTCTGGGCCAGGCCTGGCATGCATGCCTATAATCCGAACACATAGGCGAAGCAGGCAGATGGCAAGTTCAAGGGCATCTAGGCAACCCAGTAAAAAAAGAGATTGTGACACAGTTGGTCCTGCCAGAGCCTGATGCTGCCTTGCTATGCAGCGGCCGGGGGCCAGGGCCAGGGCTGGCCAAACCCCACCGCAGCATTAAGGTCGCTGCATTAAGCACCTAGCCGAGTGCTGGTGCTCACGCCAGTAACCCTAGCTACTCAGGAGTCTGGCATCTGAGGATCCTAGTTCAAAGCCAGCTTGGGCAGGAAAGTGTGAGACTCTTAGCTCCAGCAAACCAGCAAAAAGCTGGGAAGTGGAGATGTGGATCAAATGATACAGTATCATCCTTGAGCAAAAGCAGCTCAGGGACAGCGCTCAGGGCCTGAGTTCAAGTCCCAGTACTGGCACAAAAATCAAGGCCTTAGAACTACTTTTTCTTTTCTTTTTTTAAAAAATCTCCAGGTCTGGGGAGTGAAATACAATGGCAGTGGCTCAAAAATTGTGTCTGTGGGGGACGACCAGGAAATTCACATCTACGACTGTCCAACCTGAGCCTGGACCTGGGGCCAGCACACATGCCTCGCTCCCCAAGGCAAGCCGTGAAGAAATGCAGAATCTGTGTAGAGAAGACTTTTGTACATACAGTATAAACATGTTCCTGTTTTATTGGAAATGCTGTTCATACTTTTAACATAAAGCATTAATGCACATGTGTGCGCACATGTGCATCTCTTTGCTTGTGTGTGTATGTGTGTGTGTGTGTGTGTGCATGCGTGTGTCTTTGCCTGGTTCCTGAAGAACTAAGGTGCTGGCTACGAGATAGAGGTCCAGGCACTTCAAGAACTTCCAGCTTCAAAATGGAGCCCCAGTTCCCAGCATGCACTGCCATGAGCTTGCACATGGGCCGCCACATCTTGAGTGGGGTTGTGAAGTACTCAGCCGGGCGCTGGGGGCTCACACCTGTCATCCCAGCTACTCAGAAGGCTGAGATCTGAGGATCGAAGTTCCAGGCCAGCCTGGGGCAAGAAAGGCCTTGAGACTCTTTATCTCCAGTGAACCAGCAAAAAGCTAGATGTGGAGCTGTGGTCCAAGTGGTAGAGGGTTAGCCTTGAGGGAAAATGCTGAAGGACAGAGTGCCTGGGCCCTGAGTTCAAGCCACAGTGTCAACAGGAAACAAGAAGCGGAGCCACCTCTCCTAGCAGTTGAGTTTTGATTTTACAGTGGTATGGTGGGCGGGGAAGAACATGGGAAGCCACGCCCCCGTGGGGGAAGAGCTGAGTTAACGCTGCTCTTGTCCAGCAATGATTAATCAGAACTCCAGCACCTGTGGTCTGTTCACAAGTTCATTAGTTGGAATTGATTATTTTTGAATGCTGGGCACCGCTGGTGACTCAGGCCTGTAATCCTAGCAACTCCAGAGGTTGAGATCGGAGGATCATGGTTCAAAGCCAGCCTATGCAGCAAAGTCCTTGAAACTTATTTCTCACTAACCACCAAAAAGCCAGAAGTGGAGCCATGGTTCAAGTTGGTAGAGCACTAGCCTCGAGCTAAAGAGCTCTGGGACAGCACCCAGGCCCCAGGCTCAAGCCCTGTGACCAACAACACTAATTCAACGGGCAAAGCAGGGACACTGGTGTGCTCTTTTGGACCCAGATCCCCAAAGTGCTGGTGGCCGGTATGCTGTGGCACCATGTCTGCTCCATGGGACTCATCTCCCCTTGGGTCCTCAGAGGCGGGGCTCAGGTTCACAGAACCCAGTAAGAGTGGAGGACAGAAGCTTCCAGCCCAGAGCTGCTATGGTCTTCACTGTGGGAAAGGAAGGCTGAATTAAGGGCTGGAAGTGGAGGGACAAAACCAGAGTCCCACCTGCCCACCCAGGGTGCAGTCACAGCCGCCGTCCGCCAGAGAGGCCCTGGTCACTGAACTCGGGACTCGCGGGGCAGCACCGGCCCCTAGGCAGGAGGCTCTTGGACATGGCCTGGCCAGGTTCTGCCTCCAGGAATGATCTGAACCAGGGAGGACATGCAGGACCCACGGGTCATCGGAGGAGCCGGCCTGAGCCATGGGTCCACCAGTGCTGGCCCTGGCCCTGCTGCTGGGGACAGGGAGGCGGAAGTGCCTGCCAGGGCCGTCTACAGAAGCGCGTGGGGTGGGCACAGATGGCGTCTCGGTACAGCACCTAAAACACCAGGCTTGGAAAGTTCAGCAAACTTCCAAATGCTCACACACACCCCAGCCCAACCACTCAGGGCAGGGACAGCACAGGAGTGCAGCCCCCTGGGTGTGACCCGGGCGGGCAGGATCCAGGATCCACTCATGTGCTTTTGCTCCTTAGAAGATTCTTCTAGAAGGCAGAGATTGCACACTGTGGCCTTGAGCAGCCCTGCCAGGGGACGGAAGCCACCAGCCATTCAGAAGCACAATGTCCAAGAAAGGTCCTGAAAAGTGGTACAAGAACAGCCCAGGCCAGGTGCTAGTGCGCACGCCTGTAATCCCAGCTACTTGGGAGGCTGAGATCTGAGAATCAATGGTTCCAAGCCAGAACAGGCAGGAAAGTCCATGAGACATCGCCAATAAACCACCAGAAAATCGAAGTGGCAGCGTGGCTCAAAGTTGTAGGGCACTAGCAGCACCCCAGTCCTGAGTTCAAGCCCCACCAACCAACAACAACAAGACTGCGTCTGCAGATGACAAGTGATTTGTAATTAAGACATTTAAATAGAAATCAAGCTATGAAGAGAAACAAAAGAGCCCCCCTGAAAAAAGGACACAGCAATGGGGGGTGCTGAACACATACACAGGACACCCCAACACAGGAGGCCACGAAAGCCATGCCATTTTCATTGTGCCGATGTTACATTCGCGCAGCGCGGCCGTCAGGCCGTCTGGCACTGGACGCCCGCCCGCGGCCCGTCGTCGTCTTCCTCGTAGGCCTCGCGGTGCTGCCGCCAGTTCTGCTCGCTGGGGTTGAACTCCTTCAGCTCCACCTGGTCCATGTCCTCCGTGACCCGCACCTTCTGCCGGGGTGGCAGCAGCGCCTCCAGCTGAGGGAGTTTCTCCAGAGACAGCCACTGCTTGTCCGGGAAGACCACCTGGGAAAGGGTGCGCAGTAGTGTGGGCCTCTCACTCAGCCCCGACTGGGATCCAGAGCAGCCTGGGATCCAGAGCAGCCTGGGATCCAGAGCAGCCTGGGATCCAGAGCTCGTGCATACCTGGAATTCCAGCTCAGGAGATGGAGAACTGGGAATCACGGTCCAAAGGCAACCAGAAAGGACAAAACTGAGACCCATCTCTTTAGTTAACAAGCAAAAGACTGGAAGGTGGCTCGAGTGGAAGAGCAACATGATAGAAAAAGCCAAGTAAGATCACAAGGCCCTGAATTCCCACTCCAGTCTTGGCATTTTACAAAAAGCTAGATAATGGTGGCTTACACTTGTAATCCTTGCTAGGCTGAGGGAATCTCTGAGGTTCACGGTTCAAAGCTAGCCCTCTGCAGGAGAGGCTTTGAGACTTTCCTCCAAGGAACCACCCAAAGACTGGATATGGAGTCACGGCTCAAGTGGTAAAGTGCTATCCTTGAGTAAAAAAGCTAATGACACTCTGAATTCAAGTTCCAGTACTGGGGCATGTGCACATGTGTACACGTGTGCATGCGCACGTGCGTGCGCACACACAAAGCCAGGTGTCAGTGGCTCACACCTATAATCCTAGCTATTCAGGAGGCCGAAATCCGAGGATCGTGGCTTGAAACCAGTCTAGGCAAAAAAAGTCCAGAAAACATTTCCAACGAAGCGGCAAAAAGCCAGAAGTGGAAGGTGTGGCTCAAGTGGTGGAGCACCAGGCTTGAGTGAAAAAGCCAAGCAAGAAGGTGAGGCCCTGAGTTCAAGCTCCAGCACGCATGCACACGCACACACGCACGCACGCACACATGCACGCAAGCACGCCCATGGGCCACTTACGAGGAACTGTAGGATCAGGGCCCCCCGCTCCAGGGGGGCTTTGTAGATGGGCATGCCTTCGTTGCGGACACATTTCAGGTCCCCGTGCTTCATCACCTCCCCTGCCACAGAGAAGGAACAGTCAGGAGTCAGGAGACCAGGGCGGGTGTGGGCAGCCCTGGCGGTGAGCGCTGCACTGAGGAGTTGTTCCAGCCCTGGGCCAGGGATGGCCAGCTTCCTGGGGAGGGGACGACCGCGGTGGCTCCAGCTGGGCTGTGAGCACCTGCGTGAGGCTGCTGAACTGGTACGATCTCAGCGGCCTCCCAGGAGACGAGTTCAAATCCTGCGCTAAGGCTCTCCTACCCCAGGCATGGGAGCAAAGACTACTGGGAAGGTGCTCCTGGGAGCAGACGCAGGAGGAAGCTAAGTCCCAGCTTACTGGGTGTGCCACAAAGGGAACCACTGAGTTCTCACGAGGGAATGTCTCTTGCAGAATACATCTTGAAGCTGTCATGTAAGTTTTTAAATCCACAATGTGCTAACTGGGTGCTGGTGACTACACCTGTAATCCCAGCTACTCAGGAGACTGGGATTTGAGGATCATGGTTCAAAGCCAGCCTGGGCAGAAAATTATCTCTAAGCAGCAAAAATCCAGAAGTAGAAGTGTGGCTCAGGTGGTAGAGCATCAGCCTTGAGAAAAAAACAACAACCACCAAGCAAAAGGATAAAGTCTTGAGTTCAAATCCCAGCACTGGCACCAAAATAATAATCATCATCATCACAATGTGTTGACCCCTCTTCTCCTGGGGTGTCCACAGTGGAACTGTGGCTCAGATGTCATCCCCAGAGCCTGTGATGGTACAAGGGAATGACGGCCACCTCTAAGGGGAGGTCACTGGGCTCTTGATGGGATTTCTACAAAGTTCTCCCATCCCTTTCAGGTGCCGGTGCATGCTGCTCTCAGGTCAAGTCCTTAGGCCTCTGTTTCAGACCTGCCCAGGGCCAAACACAGAGGAATGACAGAACAACAGCAGGCTAGCAGAGGCTTCAAAGGCACTTTTTTTTCTTTCTCCAGTCCTGGGACTTGAACTCAGGGCCCGGGCGCTGTCCCTGAGCTTTTGTGCAGAAGGCTAGCACTCTACCACTTGAGCCACAGCTCCACTTCCGGCTTTTGTGTTTTGTCACTGGATAGAAGAGTCTCACAGACTTTCGGGCCCATGCTGGTTGTGCGCCTCGCCTCCATCCTCAGATCTCAGCCTCCCGAGCAGCTGGGACGGTAGGTGAGAGCCACCGGCGCCCAGTGCCACTCTCAACCTACAGAGTCTCACCAGGACTCAGGGTGGCTAAGAGGCTCTGGCAAAGGAGAAACACATTCAGAAATGAAGCAAAAACTGGAGAGAAGTGTGGGAAAGGATACCCAAAAAGTAAGATAAATAAGAAAAACAACTCTCCAAGGAAATCTCCAGGGCCAGGTTTTCTAGATCCTTCTACTGAAGCAGAGGAATGCCTCGCCCCTCAGGCTGGCCACTACCCTCCTTCCTAGCCTTCCTGGGCAGCTTCCCTGGGCTGGCGGGGTGGGGGTGGGGCTGGCTAAGCCCGGGCTCCAGGACTGCCCCCCCCCCCCCGGCTGACCACACCTCACATGGGGCCAGCCTGGGCCAAGGACGGGCTTCAAAAACCACAAAGCCAGGGCTGGGAAGGTGGCTCAGTGGTAGAGTGCTTGCCTTGCATGCATGAGGCCCTGGGTTCGATTCCTCAGCACCACATAAGCAAAAAAAAGCCAGAAGTGGCTCTGTGGCTGTAGTGGTAGAGCGCTAGCCTTGAGCTGAAGAGCTGAGGGACAGCGCCCAGGCCCAAAGTTCAGGCCCCACGACTGGACCCCAAAAAAAACAAAACACAAAGTCTCACGAAGCCAGCCCAGCTCCCAGCAAGGCTGGCTTGTCATCTGCCAGATGCTAGGGGCACTGCATCATGATGGACTTTCCTGCCCAGGCTGGCCTTGAACCACCAACCTCAGATCTCAGACTCCTGAGTAGCTAGGACAACAAGAGTAAGTCACCAGCACCCAGCATGAAATGTTTGTATGTATGCTTTTTTTTTTTTTGGGGGGGGGGGGGTTAGTTTAGGTAAAGGTCTATGTAGCTCAGGCTGGCCTTGAACTTCCAATCCTCCTGCCTCAGCCTCCACAGTGCTTGGATTATAAGCATAAAGGATGTAAATTTGAAATTGTTCTCAAATAAGACTTTTGGGCAAGAGTGGCACTTGAACTCAGCACCTGATGCTTTGTTCATGAGCTAGCTAAGCCACGCCTCCAATCCTATAAAAAGATTATTTTTTAAAAAGCAACACAACCTCAGCTGGGTGCCGGTGGCTCACACCTGTAATCTTAGCTTATTGGGGAGACCAGAAATCAAGGGATATGTCTTGGGGCCAGGTAAAAAGTTCATGAAACCCCATGTCAACAGAAAAGGCTAAACCTAGTAACACATATCTGACATCTGCCACAGCAGGAAGCGTTAAGTAGGAGGGTCATGGTCTGGTAAGTGTCAGGCAAAAGGTAAGACCCTATCTCAAAAGTAAGAGCAAGCCGGGCACCGGTGGCTCACGCCTGCAATCCTAGCTACTCAGGAGGCTGAGTTCTGAAGATCATGATTCAAAGCCAGCTTGGGCAGGAAAGGCTAAGAGACTCCTATCTCCAATTAACCACTAGAAAACCGTAAGTGTTGCTATGGCTCAAGTGGTAGAACACTTGCCTTGAGCTGAAGAGCTGAGAGACAGCGCCCAGGCCCAGAGTTCAAGCCACATAACCAACAACAACAACAACAAAAATAGGGCTGGGAAGGTGGCTCAGAGGTAGAGTGCTTGCCTCCCATGCATGAGGCCCTGGGTTCAATTCCTTAGCACCACATAAACAGAATAAGCCGGAAATAGTGCTGTGGGCTCAAGTGGTAGAGCGCTAGCTTTGAGCTGAAGAGCTGAGGGGCAACGCCCAGGCCCAGAGTTCAAGCCCCATGACCAACCCCTCCCTCCAAAAAAAGAGCAAAAAGCATTGGAGGCATGGCTCAAGCTATAGAGCTCCTGTCAAACAAATACACTGACACTGAGGTTAAACCCTAGTACCACCAAAATAAAATGTAAAAGATTTAGACATATAAGTTCATTTCATATGATCCCCAGAAAAGGGAGTTATGCAGAGGGAATCAGAGAGGAATGTGGCTGACAAAGAGGGGGGAAAGCAAGAGGGGGTGGGGATACACAGCAAAGACAGGAAAAGTCTGGGACAGTGACTAAACCCCAGAATCTTTTTTTTTCCCCTTCTGCCAGTCCTGGGGCTTGAACTCAGGGCCTGGGCACTGTCCCTGAGCCTCTCTTGGCTCAAGACTAACACTCTACCACTGGAGCCACAGCACCACTTCTGGCTTTTTCTGTGTATGTGGTACTGAGGAATCCAACTCAGAGCTTGATGCATGCTAGGCAAGCACTCTACCACTAAACCACATTCCCAGCCCACAGCTCCACTTTTTGCTGGTTTGTCACAGATAAAGAATTGCACCGACTTTCCCGTCCAGGCTGGCCTCAAACCTCGATTCTCAGATTTCAGCATCCTGATTAGTTAGGAATTCACCCTCATGAGCCGCCAGCGGCTGGCTAACTTTTCAACTTGGCAGATTCTAGCTAGAATTTTTAGACACCCGCTTCAGGATTCCTAGAACTTTTCAGTTGCTTTCTATTTAGCAGAAATCCAGTCAACAATTCACAAACAAAAGTGGGCCTGGGAAGGCCGTGCTTGGCAGGGCACGGGACACAGCTTACCTGATTTAGATGTAATAATAAGGACTCGATCATCCAGTGTTTTGATCGTCTTCTTGAAGCCACAAAGAGCTTCAGAAAGCTGAATTTTCATTTTCATGATCAAGTCATGGCCTCGCCTCTGAAAGACACTATGATCCTTCTGATCAAGCACAATTATCACATCGCCAGGCTCCAGCTCGGGCTCCTGATCCCCTTCGCCATGAAAGAGTATCTTTTGCCCATCTTTCATACCTATGAAACATCATTCCTTTTCAATTAGCCGTCGATCGTGACACGCAGACTCTCTCAAAGCTTTTGAAGAAAGGAGGCAACGTCCTGGGGGGAGGGGCGTTGCCATCATTCAACTTTCCAACCCGGGTGGGCACAGAAGGCTCCCATGGGCTCGAGCTCCTATGGCTCCCGGCTGTGGCCCTCTGAGGGACTCGGAGGCCCCCGTCTGTGTCCAGGTGCACAGTGCCTGGCTCTGGTGGCTACAGCTGTGGCCCCTTCAAGCGGGCCAGGACCGTGCAGGCCCTGGGGACCCAGGCCTGGGGGAAGCCAGCCCCCTTTGCCAGCTCCCGTGTGGGTCTCGGTGTTGATTTCTTTTGACTTTTTTTTGGTCTCATCTCTCAGCTGTGGGTTCTTTGCTGAGTTAGACAGCCACAGATCAATCAAGCATTTGGAAAACTAGCTAGGATCTGACAGCAGGCAAAATGAATGCTAAGCGGAGGCGGGGGTGCGGGGTGTCTGCTTTTGGGGAGAACACAGTATCTGAGAAGGGAAATAAGCACTTTTAAAGCAGCAGAAAGTCTTAAAAAAAAAAAAAAAGAACAAGTAAAACCTAGGGCTTGAACTCAGGGCCTGGGCGCTGTCTGGGCTTTTTTGCTGAAGGCTAGTGCTCTACCAATTGAGCCACAGCTCCACTTGTGAGTTTTTGGTGGTTCACTGGAGTGTCTCATGGATTTTGCTGCCCAGGCTATCTTTAAACCATAACCCTGAGTATCTAGGATTATAGGCATGAGCCACCAACACTTAGCTACAACTGTCTTTATTATTATTATTTTATTTTTGTCAGTCATGGGGCTTGAACTCTGGGCCTGGGCGCTGTCCCTCAGCGCTTTAGCTCAAGGCAAGCGCTCTACCACTTGAGCCATAGCACCACTTCCGGTTTTCTGAGTGGTTAATTTGAAAGTCTCACGGACTTTCCTGCCTGGGCTGGCTTTGAACTGCAATCCTCAGATCTCAGCCTCCCGAGTAACTAGGATTACAGGCGTGAGTCACCAGTGCCCGGCTTACACCTGTCTTTTAATATATGTCCTGAGGGAGGTAGCCCACCCATGCTGCCTCCCCTAAGTGCCCTGTGATTGGTGCAGCCCAGCCCCTAAGTGTCCTGTGATTGGTGCAGCCCAGACCCTAAGTGCCCTGTGATTGGTGCAGCCCAGCCCCTAGTGTCTGTGACTGGCACCGCCCAAGCGCCTGCGAGCCACAAGTGGCAAGCTCAGGCTGGGTGGACGCACTCACCTTTCTCCACGTGCACCTCGATGATCTTCTTCTCGCGGGTCACCTTGGCGCCACTGCAGGTCTCGCAGCGGTCCTTGGGGTTGATGCGCTCGCCCTGGCCCTTGCACTCAATGCACACCGTCTGGATCTGCTGGACCATGCCCGGCCCAATCTGCTGGATGTGGATCTGCATCCCTCGCCCTTTACACAACGGGCATTTCTCCACGGACCCCTTCTTCCCGCCGATGCCTGCGGGGATGGGGCAACAGGACCCAGAGCCGTGACCTTCCCCTCCAGGGTGCCACGGCAGAGGGTGTGACGCATGACACTGGCTGCATGCTGCCGTTGCAATTCTATTTCACAGTCATAAAAGCAAAGTGGCCAGGCCATCGGCAGCTCACGCCTGTCATCCTAGCTACTCAGGAAGCTGGGATCTGAGGATCAGAGTTCAAAGCCAGCTCCTGCAAGAGAGTCCATATGGATGCTATCTCCATTTATTCACAAAAAAAAAAAAAAAAAAAGAAGAAGAAAAAAAAAAAGGAAAAGAAAGAGGCCAGAAGTGGAGTTGTGACTCAAATGGTAAAGCAGCAATCTTAAGTGAAAAAAAGCTCAGGGATAATGCCTAAGGCTCCATGTTCAAACCCTAGTACCAACACTAAAAATCAATCAGGTAGATTTGGAATTTAAGCTACCTGTTTGAAAAAAACAAAAACAAAACTCTGCTTGAATCTACCTTTGGAAAGATAGTTCACACCTCTAATCCTAGCACTCTGGGAGGCTGAAGCAGGAGGATCACCAGTTCAAGACTAGCCTGGGCTACCAAAATATGACCCCTCCCATCGCAAGAAAATATTTTTCTCTGAACTAGGAAACAACTAGATGCACCTCCAGATCCAAGACATCAGAACTGGGGCTGGGAAGGTGGCTCAGTGGTAGAGCGCTTGCCTTGCATGCCTGAGGCCCTGGGTTCTATTCCTCAGCACCACATAAGCAAAAAGAAAAAAGCTGGAAGTGGTGCTGTGGCTCAAGTGGTAGAGCGCTTGCCTTGAGCTAAAGAGCTGAGGGACAGCGCCCAGGCCCAGAGTTCAGGCCCCACGACTGGACCCCCCCCCCCCAAAAAAAAAAAAAAAAGATGCCAGTGCAACCAAGACATCAGAACTGTGAAAATCACTCAAATTCTACCAGCGGCTTGTGGGCTCATGCCTATAATCCTAAGTTATTCAGAAGGCTGAAAAATCAGTTCAATAGCCTGGGCAGACAAATCCACGAGACTCTGGTCTTTAGTTATGGCCCGGCAAAACACTAGAAATAGAGTGAGAATGTGGCTTAGTGGTGGAATGCTTGCCTAGCATGCATGAAGTCCCGGGTTTGATTCCTCTGTACCACATAAATAGAAAAAGCCAGAAGTGGTGCTGTGGCTCAAGTGGTAGAGTGCTAGCCTTGACCAAAAGCAGCTCAGGAACAGTGCTTAGGCCCTGAGTTCAAGCCCCAGGACTAACAAAACAAAACAAAAAACTAGAAGTAGAGCTTGTGGCTCAAATGGCAGAACACTCTTGAGTGAAAAAAAGCTAAAGGAATAGCACACCTAGGTTCTAAGTTCAAGCCCCACACAAAACAAATACCATTTTTACCTTCACATTTCTCACAGATTACATTTTTCTGCAATGCCAATTTCTTTGTAACTCCATTATATAAGTCTTCCAGGGTTACAGACAACTGATGTACAACATTCTTGCCTTCCCAAAAGAAAGGAAAAAATAAAAAGCAATTAGTCACACTGCCGTGGATATTCCTCTACAGCAAATGCCATGTGGAGCATGTACGCGCTCCTCAGCTGCACTGACTTGCCCATGCCCACCCGGAAGCTGAGCCTGGACCATCCACCCTTCTCCTTCCTGCCAGCCCCGCCCCCCAACATGATCATTCATAGAGCTCAACAAGAAAAACAAGAGGTCCCAGGCACCAGGAGTTCAGGCCTGTCATCCTAGCTCCTGAGGAGCCTGAGATCTGAGGATCAAGGTTCAAAGCCAGTCCTGGCAGGAAAGTTTGTGAGACTCATCTCCAGTGAACCACCAGAAAGCTGAAGTGGCGCTGTGGCTCAAAGTGGTGGAGCTCCAGCCCTGAGTGAAAGAGCTCAGGGACAGTGCCCAGGCCCTGAGTTCAAGCCCCACAACCACCACCAACAACCACCCAAACTATGGAAGTGTTGTCTCTGAGTTCAAGATCGTGGGCCGCTGGGCTCTGCCTGCTCAGGAAGGCGGACAGCCTCCAGGCCGTCTCAGCTTCCCAGAGTTCTCAGGTCACTGGGACCAGATGTCCTGGTTTATTGGCTGTCAATTAGGAGAGATCACTTCATTAAGGGTGTGAACATTTCCCTCTCCAAACAGTGAGTATGCCAGACAAGAGATTAGCCAATAGCTAAAGGATGGGGGGGATTTTCTCTACTAAATACTAGATGAGCTGAGTGGAAGTGGCTCATGCTCTATAATCCTAGCTACTGTGGAGGCTGAGATCTGGAGGATCACAGTTGGAAGCAAGCCCAGGCAGACAAATCTGAGAGCCTCTCAACTCCAATTAACCACCCAAAAGAAAAAAAAAGTGGGAATTGGAGGTGTGGCACAAGAGGTAGAGAGCCAGCTTTGTGTGAAAAAGTTAAAGTAGAGCATAAGGCCCTGAGTTCAAGTCCTGTTACTGGCATGTGCCTACATGCGTACGTGTACACACACACACACACACACACACACACACACACACACACACACACACACACACACACACACTCCACTAGGAGATTTGCTGTACACTGGGTTCACAAGATTGACCCCAATCAGCTTTTCAAAGCTCAAAGTCAGAGTTATAATGAAAGAACAAGTACATTTTGTTTGGAACCTCACTAGCCAAAGCTGAGCCTCTAAAAGCCTATGTAGAATGTGTTTCATCTGACTTTATCCTGACTGTAATAAGCTTGGTTAATTTTGTTTTTGCCAGTCCTAGGGCTTGAACTCTGCCTGGGCACTGTCCTTAAGCTTCTTTTGCTCAAGGCTAGCACTCTACCACTTGAGCCACAGCACCATTTCCAACCTTGTTCTGTGTATGTGGTGCTGAGAAGTTGAACCCAGGGCTTTCGCACATGGTAGGCAGCACTTTACCAGTAAGCTACATTCCCAGCCCTGGCTTTTGTTTTTTTGTCTGTCGTGGGCCTGGGCGCTGTCCCTCAGCTCTTCAGCTCAAGGTTAGTGCTCTACCACTTGAGCTACAGCGCCACTTCTGGTTTTCTGGTGGTTCACTGGAGAGAAGAGTCTCACAGAGTTTCCTGCCTGGGCTGGCTTTGAACCGCGATCCTCAGATCTCAGCCTCCTGAGTAGCTGGGATGACAGGCCTGAGCTGCCTGGTGCCCAGCTTTTTTTTTTTTTAAACTAGCACATTCAGTGCCTGGCCCCACAACAAAGGACAAGACAAACTTGTCCTTCGCTTACCCACAGCCCCCTCCTCCCTCCCTCCCCTCTTCCTTGGAGGTGTCTGAAGGCTGACAGAGACTTCCTCCACAAGCTAAGAGGTTTCAGCATCTGGAACTTCACTGTTCCCAAACCCTACGGGGGTGCCGCCTTCCTGTGGTAAAGGCATGCCCCGCCCGGATCCCGGGCCCCGCCCCGCCCCCGGGCCCCGCCCCGCCCCCAGGCCCCGCCCCACCCCCAGGCCCCACCCCAGACCCCGCCCCGACCCCAGGCCCCGCCCCGGCCCACTCTCAGGCCCCGCCCCGACCCCAGGCCCCGCCCTGCCTCCGGGCCCCGCCCCGCTCCCAGGCCCCGCCCCGACACCAGGCCCCGCCCACAGGCCCCGCCCCGACCCCGCCTCGTTCCCGGGCCCCGCCCCGATCCCAGGCCCCACCCCAGACCCCGCCCCACCCCCGGGCCCCGCCCCGATCCCGCCTCGTTCCCGGGCCCCGCCCCGATCCCAGGCCCCGCCCCTCCCCAGGCCCCGCCTCGTTCCCGGGCCCCGCCCCCGCCCGGATCCCAGGCCCCGCCCCGATCCCTGGCCCCGCCCCGACCCCAGACCCCGCCTCGCTCCCGGGCCCCGCCCCTCCCCGGGCCCCGCCCCAGCCCTCCCCAGGCCCCGCCCCTCCCCAGGCCCCGCCCCGCCCCCGGCCCCGCCCCGATCCCTGCCCTGGGCCGCTCCCGCCCCGCGGCTCACCTCGCCTCTCTCTGGCCATCCGGCCCCCACCTCCGAAGAACATGTCGAAGATGTCCATGGGGGAGGAGAAGCCGGGGCTCCCGGAGCCCCCCTCCTTAATCGCCTGCTCCCCGCCCTGGTCGTAAACATCCCTTTTCTTTGGATCTGAAAGCACTTCATACGCCTGTGATATAAGTTTAAACTTAAAAAGAAAAAGAAAAAAATGTTTAAAAGAGAAGCACCGTGAAGAGTCTGCGCTGGGGGGGGGGCTTGAACTCAGGACCTGCGTGCTGTCCCATAGCATTTTTTTTTGCTCCAGGTTGGCGCTCTACTACTAGGCCACAGCCCCACTTACTGATTTGGGGCTGAATTGGAATTAGGAGTCTCGCAGACTTTTCCTGTCTATGGGGCTGGGAAGGTGGCTCAGTGGTAGAGTGCTTGCCTTGCATGAATGAGGCCCTGGGTTCGATTCCTCAGCACCACATAAACAGAAAAATCTGGAAGTGGCGCTGTGGCTTAAGTGATAGTGTGCTAGTCTTGAGCTGAGGCCCAGGCCCAGACTTCAGGTCCACGATCCCCCCCCAAAAAAAAAACAAAACAAAACCAAAAAACAGACTTTCCTGTCTGGACTGGCTTCGAACCACAATCCTCCATTCTCAGCCTCCTGAGTAGCTGGGATTACAGGCGTGAGCCACTAACTCGGCTTCTCTCAGCTTCCTCTTGTAGTTCTGAGAGTCAGAGAACCTTTCAGCTCCTCTGCAGAATGTTCTAAGCTATTTTATTGAGGAAAGCTCAATTTGAATATAATTTGAATACAATTTAAATATGACAATCACAGCCCTCTCACTGCAGACTTCCATTCTCAGTGGAGGCCTGACTTTCCCTCTGGCATCATTTGCTTTGGGCTCATTGGCTGGTGCTCTACCAGCTGGTCCACACCTCCAACCCAAAGAGAGTTAACTAACTGGGTACTAGTGGCTCACATCTGTAATCCTCACTAACAAGAGTTCAAAGCCATCCCAAGCAAGAAAGTCTGTGGCACTCATCTCCAACGAATCATCAAAAAGACAGGAGTGGAGCCTTGGCTCAAGTGGTAGAGCGCCAGCTTGCAGTTAATAAAAAAACGCCAAGGGGAGGCCCTGGGTTCAGGCCCCGGTACTGACAGAAAAAAATTAGAAATTAAAAGAGGGTCACCAGCCAAGAACACACCCCCCCCCAGCACTGTCCTTAAAGGAGAATTTTTTTCTCCCCGGCCACCCTGTGTCTTTCAGAAAAGCACGCTGCCAGAGTCCACACAAAGCAGTGTTCCACAACAAACACAGGCTGCCTGTCACTTAGCAACCCAGAACAACTGGGCAGAAAACTAACACCAGCACCCCACGGCCTTGCCAGCTGTCCAGGAGGCTGGTGGAAAGGCCGGGCTTAATCTATTTTTGAAGAGACATGAATAATACAGTGACAAACTTAGGTGAAAAGAAAAAATACAAAGAAAAAGGTCCCACCTGGAACAGATAAAATGGACAAGGAATACATAAACTCCCATCCGAAACGCTGGCACACTGCGGCCAGAAGAGGACACGAGCGAGTGAAAGATCTCTGTGGAAATGTCACGGCAGAGTTGTGTAATTGTGTTCCATCTTCTGTGGTGTGGTGGTGCATGTGTCCCTTAGCCTTGTCACTCAAAGCTGGCGCTCCACCACTGAACCGCAGCTCCACTGCTGGCTTTTGGTTGGTTCATTGGAGATAAAAAGTCTTGTAGACTTACTGCCCAGGCTGGCTTTAAACCTCAAGCCTCAGATCTCGGCCTCCTGAATAGCTGCGATTATAGCATGGAGCACCAGCACCCGGCTGGCACCGAGTATTTTATGAGCATTTCTTCCCAGAGCACTGCTATCGTTTCATACACACGACCATTTCCAAAGCTACACACACAGCAAGATGGCAGAGGGTGAGGGCTGGAGAGGGAAAGAAGGGGAGACAAAGTAGTATTCCTCTGGCAGAGACGGAAGGGGTGACATTGTCCAAAACAAAATACTTATGTCCCCCCTCTGTACATCACCTTTATTATAATAAGAAAAAATTTAAAAAAAAGATTTGTGGAAGTGGGGAAAATCACAGAAGCCCCTCCAGAATGGACAAGCACCTGCTAAGCAGCCTCAATAATGGGACATAAATTCAGTCTGGCTGGAAATACGTATGTATTTAAAATAATAAGTGGCAGGTAGGCACTGACTCATACCTTTAATCCTAGCTACTCAGGAAGCTGAGACTTGACCATCGAGGTCAGAAGCCAGCCCAGGCAGGAAAGTCTAAGACATCTCCAATGAGCCAGCAAAAAGCTGGAAGTGGAGGTGTAGCTCAAGCGATAGAGCATCAGCCTTGAGCAGAAAAAGCCAACTGAGAGCTCAAGGCCCTGCCCTGAGTTCAGGCCTTAGGTAGTCTAACCAGCACAAAGTTAAAAAATGAAAAAGGACAAAACAATGTACCCATTGTGAAAGCAACATAGATGTAAAGAACAAGTCTAAACAAAATAAAAAGCTGAGCACTGTTGGCTCATGACTGTGATCCAAGCTTCTCAGGAGGCTGAGATCTGAAGATCAAGGTTCAACGCCAGCCTGGGCAGGCAAGTTGGTAAGACTCATCTCCAATTAACTACCAGAAAAGCAAAAGTGGCACTGGGGCTTGAAGTGGTAGAGTGCTATCCTTGAACAAAAGGAGCTTGGGGACAGTGCCTGGCCCTGAGTTCAAGCCCCACGACTAATAATAATTATTATTTCCACACATGGCCAGCCTAGCCACGCTACTGCAACAGAAAAACCCAACCCCAAAGCACAAACGACTTGGCCTCAAGTAACCGTGGCAGCCACGGACCGTGAATCACGGGCCCCGTGCGGGACGGCGGGCAGCCCCTAGGAAAGCCTGCACCGCCTAAATATAGACGAACCAAAGCGAACCCGCCACAGGGACCCAGCGGAATCTTCTGACGGCCATATTTCAGCACCACGGAGCTAAATATAAATATTCCATCAGCTCCAGCCACCCAGCCAACGCGGACTTGGAATCACGAATGGAGACGGGTGTGTTCTAACCCCCCTCCACGGCCGTGGCCTCGAATCTCAATGAGAGGTGGCTTGAGGTGACCCGGGTCCCTGCGATCGGCTGCAGCCGGAGCCCCGCTGCCCAGACCCACCGGGGACCACAGCGCCCGGCCGCACTGCCACCCCGGCCACGGGGACGCTGCGCCCGCCCGCACTGCCACCCCGGCCACGGGCACCACAGCGCCCGCCCGCACTGCCACCCCGGCCACGGGGACGCTGCGCCCGGCCGCACTGCCACCCCGGCCACCACAGCGCCCGGCCGCACTGCCACCCCCGGCCACGGGGACGCTGCGCCCGGCCGCACTGCCACCCCGGCCACGGCCACCACAGCGCCCGCCCGCACTGCCACCCCGGCCACCACAGCGCCCGCCCGCACTGCCACCCCGGCCACGGGCACCACAGCGCCCGCCCGCACTGCCACCCCGGCCACGGGCACCACAGCGCCCGCCCGCACTGCCACCCCGGCCACGGGCACCACAGCGCCCGGCCGCACTGCCACCCCGGCCACGGGGACGCTGCGCCCGGCCGCACTGCCACCCCGGCCACGGGGACGCTGCGCCCGCCCGCACTGCCACCCCGGCCACGGGGACGCTGCGCCCGGCCGCACTGCCACCCCGGCCACGGGGACGCTGCGCCCGGCCGCACTGCCACCCCGGCCACGGGCACCACAGCGCCCGCCCGCACTGCCACCCCGGCCACCACAGCGCCCGGCCGCACTGCCACCCCGGCCACGGGGACGCTGCGCGCCGAGGATGGCGGTGCAAAGCCAGCTCAGGCGGAGAGACTGAGACCAGAAAGGAGCGTTACAGAAGCCAGACGCCGTCTGACCTCGGGCTCCCCGTCTACCCCGGCGCGTGGAGTCCAACGCGCCCCTCATCCCACCAAACGAGGCCGCGGCATCATCCGGATGATGCAACTCCAAGGGGGACGCCGCGGGCCCCCGGGCTCCCCACCGCACCCCCGCGGGGAGCCCCGGGTCCGGCCCACCGACCGCCCCGCCACGGGGTTCACAAACCCACCGGGACCGAAGCCGATCCGCGGGGGGCTGCGGGCCGGCTGCGGGGGCCAGGCCCGCGCCCCGCACGCGGCGGGCGGAGGCCCCGTCCACACCGGGGGTGCGTGCGGGGGGCGGGGGGGCGGATCGCCCCGCGAGGCCCGCCCCGGGACCCCGGCCCCCACCTTCTCGCCCTCGTCGGGGTTCTTGTCGGGGTGGTACTTGAGGGCCAGCTTGCGGTAGGCCTTCTTGATCTCCTCCGGGGAGGCGCTGGGCCGCACCCCCAGGATGTCGTAGTACTGCGTCTCCTTCACCATCTTGTCCCTGCGGGGGGACCCCGCGCCCCCGGGGCCCGGTCAGCGTCCGCCCGGGACTCCCGGACCCCCGAGGCCGGGTCACGGCCAGGGCCGCGGGGCGCTCCCGCGTCACGGCCACGGCCCCGACCCCGCGCCGGTCTCCGCGCCGGCCCCGCCGCGCTCCGGCCGCGGCTCCTCCGCGCGGGTTTTATCCGGCGCCGGCGGAAGCTGCCATCCCGGGCCGATGACGCCACAAACGCCCAGAACCTTCCCGGAGGTTCCGGCGACGCCGAGCGGGCGGGCGGGGCGCTCCGAGAGGCCCGGATCCCGCGCGCCCGGCCCGGAGTCGCCCCGCGCGCGCCCCCGCCCGCCCCGCCCCGCCCCGCCCCGCGACCCCTGACCCCGACCGGTCCCACGACCTTGACCCCGCCCCGTAACCCCTGATCCTGACCCCGCGAGCCCCACGATCCCGCCCCCCGCGACCCCTGCCCGAACCCCGCCCGCCCCGCCCCGCGACCCCTGCCCCCGACCCCCGCCCGCCCCGCGACCCCTGACCCCGACCCCCACCAGCCCGGTCCCATGACCTTTGACCCCCGCCCGTAACCCCTGATCCTGACCCCCGCCCGCCCCGCCCCGCGACCCCGGGTCCCGGCCCCTACCATCCCTGCCCGCCCCCGTCGGTCTCGCCCCGCGATCCCTGACCCTGACCCCCGCGCCCCCCGCCCGGGCCCCGCGCCCCGGGCCCCCCGCCCGCGCCCCCCGCCCCCTGCCCCGCGCCCTGCCCCGCGCCCCCCGCCCCCTGCCCCGCGCCCTGCCCCGCGCCCCCCGCCCCCCCCGCTCCGCGCCCCCCGCCCCCTGCCCCGCGCCCTGCCCCGCGCCCCCCGCCCCCCGCCCCCCGCCCCGCGCCCCCCGCCCCGCGCCCCCCGCGCCCCCCGCCCCGCGCCCCCCGCCCCCCGCCCCGCGCCCCCCGCGCCCCGCCCCGCGCCCCCCGCCCCCCGCCCCCCGCCCCGCGCCCCCCGCCCGCGCCCCGCGCCCCGCGCCCCCTGCCCGCGCCCCGCGACGCCCACCCGCCGTCCTCCGGAGCCGGCTCCTCGGGCTGCCCGTCCGACTCCCCGGAGCTCCAGTTCTGGCTGCCGCCCCGAGCCATGTCGGGGCGCCGGGCCGCGGGCGGCGGGGGCCCCGGCGCCCTGCGAGCGTCCCCCGCGAGGCCGCTCGGCGCTCGGGCTGCTCGGCGGGTCGGGCTCGGGGCTGCGCTGCGGGCCGCGCTCGCGTGCGGGCCGGGGCTGCGCGCCGGGACTCGGGGCGCCGCGGGCCGCGCCCCGACCACCGCACCCTGGGGCGGGGCCCTTTGTTGGGTCATCGCTCGGCCTGGCCTTGCGCCGGCGCCCCGCCCTCCCCCAGGCGTCGCCAAGGCCGATCGGGGGTCCCCTGCCCTGCCGCGGGCCCCCACGGCCCCGTAGGCGTCCCCCCCCCAGACCCGGGAGCCCGCCCCTCCTCCCCGGCCGCCCTCGAAGGGCAGAGCCCCAAAGCCAGGCCACACGGGGGGCGCCCTGCGCCCGGCCGCGCCCCGCACTATCAGAAGGCCGCAGGCCTCCCGCCCGCCGCGCCCTGGCTTCTGCGGGGTCCCCCCACCCCGAAACCCGGTACGAACGACTTAATATCGAAAGAGACAAGAATATATTTGTATCTATCCCGGCGCCTGTGAGCCCAGGAGGCTGAGATCTGAGGCCGGTCCCCGAGACACCCAGCTCCCCGCTACCCAGCAAGGACAAGCTGGACCTTGTTGGGAACATGGAGAGGCCCGGACCTGGACTGTTTATTGGGGAACAGTGCAGGGCACAGACCTTCCTGCAGAGGTTGTGCAAGGGACTGGATTTTGGGGTGAGCTTATAGAGGGCTTCACAGGCCTATGGTCACATTGGGGTCAAGGGCCATGTCCTTGGCCAGGCCCACAGTAGAAGCTGGTGTGGGGTGATTGCTGGGGCCAAGGTCAGAATGACCTGCCTGTGGACAAGCCGGGGGGAGCACACACCGGTGCTTTGCTTGACCCTGGGCAGTGAGGCAAGACTCAATCCTGCCTAGTCCATCTTTAGGTACATAAAAAGATTAGGCCAACGGGCTGAGACTGTGGCTCAGTGGTAGAGTGCTGGCCTGGCACGCATGAAGCCCTGGGTTCGATTCCTCAGTACCACATACACAGAAAAAGCCAGAAGTGGCGCTGTGGCTCAGGTAGTAGAGTGCTAGCCTTGAGCAAAAGCAGCTCAGGGACAGCACCCAGGCCCAAAGTCAAAGTCCCAGGACTGGCAAAAAAAAAAAAAAAAAAAAAGGATTGGGCCGAGAGGAGAGAGGCAGATATTCAAGATCTTCATATAGGGTCTTTTGGATACATAAAAACGTTGGGCCAGGTAGCCCGCAGGGGCCAGCACTGCAGAGGGTGTCCCGGACACGCGGCCAGAGGAGCCAGCTCAGACAAGGTCGCCAGGGAGACAGGGAAGGAAGCCAAGGAACCTGCTAAGGCTGACATCACTGAACTCTGCCTGGACATGTTCTCCAAAATGGCCACATACCTGACTCGGGAGCTGAAGTGAAGACTCTAAGTTCCTGGAAAACAGGAATAAACGAACCCGCTTGAAGTATCTTGAAATGAAAGATCTTGCTATAAACAGTAGTAGACAGATTCAGCCTTATCTGAATTAGATCAATGCAATTGAGGAGCAGGTAGCCGTGTGAGCAGCAGCCTCCAAGTTGGATGCATACTCAAAAAACCTGGAAGCCAAGTACAAGAAGCTGGAAAAGAGATGGAAACATATTTCTATGGGATAAAGCCTTTAAAAAAAAAAAAAGTGTAGAAGAGTGTTTTATAACACATGAATCTGAGGCTGATAAATTACCCAAAGTTCCTAAGCAGAAATCTATTGGTCATTCTAGAAACATCCCAATGATGAATACACTGGGGGGCTGTGGCTGCTCCTGAATCTTCTTTGAGTCAGTATCTCTCAGAAACTCACACTTACCCTTCTTACATTTTACTTGAATGCTTCATCATTCAGAACAGAGACTCTCAAAGTTCAGGATAAACCTGGCCTTGCCAGAGAACCAAATAAGGACCTGTTTTGTCGGATAGGATTTGATTACTGTATTATTTTCTCAACTGTCTAGTTCTTGAGTTCATTATTCTGTAAATAGTTGTGTTTTTTTTTTCATTAATGATACTTAATTATTCTAAATTAAAAAGAGAAGAAAAAAAAAAAAGTTGGGCCAGCCAGGTACTGGTGGCTCACACCTATAATCCTAGCTACTCAGGAGGCTGAGATCTGAGAATCACAATTCAAATCCAGCCCAAGCAGGAAAGCCCGTGAGACTCTTATCTCCAATGAACCACCAGAAAACCGGAAGTGGTGCTGTGGCTCAAGCAGTAGAGCACTAGCCTTGAGCTGAGGGACAGAGCCCAAGCCCAGAGTTCAAACCCCACGACCCACAACAACAGTAACAACAACAAAAAAGTTGGACCAAAGGGAGATGGGGGAAAAGGGTTGTCTTTCTGGTTACTGCTGACATGGGGGTATCAAGGAGTCACTGAGGCTGGGGTATTCAGGGTCCGGGTCTATGCTGGGCAGGGCAGGGCGGTATAAGAGGTTGCCTGCAGTGATAGGCTGGCCTTGACTTGCTCCAGGTCCTGAGTGAGGGCTGTAGTCCTATTAAAGAGAAACTTGCAGAAGGTGGATCAGGCCAAAGGCTGACAAGGTGGCAGACCAGTTGATATGAATGACACAGGCAGACACACCCTGGGCAGAAGCCAGAAAAGGTCCATTTGGAGCATGAGCCCATAACCAGTCAGAAGGTAGACAGGTATGGATGTTAGATGGGCATTCATGAGCATTAATTAGATGGGCATGAACTATTTTCTTTTGATTTCCTGGCTCTGGTTAATTTTGAAAGAGCAACTTTATTTGGGATGTGACACCATCCCTTCTTATTCCAGGACTAGCATTTGTCCTGGGGTCTAGGTGCTGGTTGATGGGATGGCTTTTCCTAGTTGGTGTCTCTTTTGTCAGTCACAGGGTTTGAACTCAAGGCCTGGACACTGTCGGGCTGCTACTCTACCGCTTTGAGCCATAGCACCATTTCCAGAATTCTACTGGTTATCTAGAGATGAGAGTTTCTTGAGCCATGTTTCCAGCCTGGCTGTTTGCTGGTTAGTTGGGAAATGGAGTCTCAGAGGGATTATTCTGTCCAGGCTGCCTTTGAACTGTGATCCACAGATTAGATGAGTATTTACCACAAAAAAAACAAACCTTTTTATTTCCAGTTAAAGCAACTAGGAGATCACATACAAGTATAGTTATTCTTTTTGTTGTTGTTGTTGGTCTTGGGGCTTGAACTCTGGGCCTGGGCGTTGTCCCTCAGCTCTTCAACTCAAGGCTAGAGCTCTACCACTTGAGCTACAGCGCCACTTCCGGTTTTCTAGTGGTTTATTGGAGATAGGAGTCTCACGGTCTTTCCTGCCCTGGCTGGCTTTGAATTGCGATCCTCAGATCTCAGCCTCCTGAGTAGCTAGGATTACAGGCGTGAGCCACCGGCGCCCGGCAAAAGTATAGTTATTCTTAACTGCATATAACACTTTAGGATGCTCGTTGAGATTAAGACATTGTAAGTGTCACTAAGCCTTTGTGATTACAGCAAAAACTGCAGGAGTTGGAGTCCTTTTAGCTCTGTAGCCAAAGCAGCTTACATATTAAACAGGGAAAGGTGTTCATGTGAAGGACCTTCACAGAAACACTTAAGTGAACATTGGTTTACACAAAACAATTATCCAGAGGAAACCATTTTTTTAATTTATATTTTGGATTAACTCATAAACAAAACTTTCGAAAACTATCTGCTTTTTTCCTTTGGCCTGTGGAACTACGTTATCTTCAGAACTGTCTCAAAGTGAACTGTAACTCTACCCAGCAGGTTGTAGGGTCAGAGCTGTTGGTTAGAATTTTTACACCATGATGACAGTTTTCAGATATTACAATAAGATGGTGTTGAACATGTTCACACACATATACACTTCTGTCATATATATATATATATATATATATTTATTTATTTATTTATTTATTTTTGTCGGTCGTAGGGCTTGAACTCTAGGCCTGGGTGCTGTCCCTGATCCCTTCAGCTCAAGGCAAGCCCCCAGCTCTGTACAAAAATTTTAAGGCGTGCTTAGATTTAAAAACAAAAGGCTGGGCGCCGGTGGCTCATGCCTATAATCTTAGCTACTCAGGAGGCTGAGATCTGAGGATTGCAGTTCAAAGCCAGCCCAGGCAGGAAAGTCCTGAGACTCTTATCTCCAATAAACCACTCAGAAAACTGAAATGATGCTGTGGCTCAAGTGGTAGAGCTGAGGGGCAGCTCCCAGGCCCAGAGTTCAAGCTCCTTATAACCTTTAGAACAATTTTGGCAAAGCTTGGAGAGAGAGAGAGAGAGAGAGAGAGAGAGAGAGAGAGAGAGAGAGAGGAGGTCACCATGTGGTCTTTGTCTCTTCCTAGGTGGGTGTCTATCTCTAGGGCCTGCAGAGAATTGGGGGAGGGAGGGTCTTGCGGAAGGGCAGGGGAGGAGGCTATAGTAACCTCACAGAGGAGTTCTGCCTTAAGGGAGAAGTTAAGAATCCGATTTAGATGTAAGTAGACTCAGGAAAGAGAAAAGGAATGCATTAGTGTCCCAGTCCTGAAGGCTAAAAGGATAGGTTTGTTTGGAGTATGCTCTCTGTCTAACTGCTCTGGGGCTTGGAGCAGTTTTCACTTAGAGAATCCAGACCAGCTGCGGAGAGGAGGAATGTATTTACAACAGCAAGGATGTTGAAGAGACTTGGGTTCCTGGAACCACCTTTAAGAGGGAACCCCCGAGAGGGGTCCCTGGAACCCAGGCTGCGGCTCATTCTCTAGGGCAGAAGTCAAAGGGCTGTCAGTGGGAAAGGAGGGGATGTAATGGTAAATGATCTCTAGTCTGGAGGTGATGGGGAGAAAGAGAGAGAGAGAGCCGGGCGCTGGTGGCTCACGCCTGTAATCCTAGCTACTCAGGAGGCTGAGATCTGAGGATCGCGGTTCAAAGCCAGCCCGGGCAGGAAAGACCATGAGACTCCTATCTCCAATAAACCACCAGAAAACCGGAAGTGGCGCTGTAGCTCAAATGGTAGAGCG